CTAGAGATTTTTGGTGAATGCTCTGGGGGTTTAAAAACCGGAGTTGGTTTGGTTATAAAGTTATTAAGTGTTGGTTGTATTATTTTAAAACTAAATAAAAGACCACGGCCTTATCTGCAACATTTCTGAGTCTGTGTCTTTTTTATTATTATGTATCTATATGTTTGTTTCATTGTTTATTATTATGGTTATTTACCATGTATCAGTCTGATTTAATCCCTGCTGAGCACAGGCGTTTTGCAGTAAGCACAGGTTTTTCAGAGAAAAGGCCTAGGGACACCTCCATTGATTCAATGCATCTCTATGAGGAGCTGCTGATTGGCCAGTGCTGTGTTTGGCTTGTGCTGGCTCTGCCCCTGAACTGCCGCCTTAACAGTCTCCGCCAATTCAATGATTTCCTATGTGAAAGCATTGTGATTGGCTCAGATCACCATTTTTGATTATGTCAGCCAAGCAGGCAGATCAACGTCAGAGCCAGAAGCAGCAGACCGGGGGAGGGAGGATGGGAAGGGGGAGGGAGGGAGAGGGAGAGGTGTGGTGGGTGGGTTCAGGTGGGCTAGATGGTGTTTTTAACACTGTAGGGTCAGGAATACATGTTTGTGTTCCTGACCCTATAGTGTTCCTTTAAGCCTCTAGTGAAAAGTAATCTAGCAATCTACTTCTCGCCCCTCCCCTTCCCTTCTGTGTCCCTGTACCCCACTCCCTCTAAAATCTAAGCTTAATTAAGCCAGGCCCTCAACCCCCTCTATTCCTGTGCGTCCAACTCATCTGGTTACAAGTACTTGTCTGCTAGTCCTCCCATTGTACAGCGCTGCAGAATTTGTTAGTCGCTTTATGAATAATAATAATTTTATATACAGTACAAAAATAATCACATATACACATTGCACTTACAAAGAAAAAGCGCTAGAGGGCAGCTGTAATTCGGCACCATAGTCAAGTGACTCGGTCTATTTTGCCTGATTAACACTGCCCTCTAGTGCTTTTGTTTGCAACTTCAGCAAATACCAGAGTTCTGTGAATAGTCACCTACTTTAAATACATCACTAATGAGGACCAATGAACAGACCCTGATTGTTTGTAAGAATCTAATGCTAAGTACTATGTTTTGTTACACCATCCATGTCACAATGCCCACGTGCCACACTGTGTACATTTCTCTCCATTTGCCTCCTTTTATTATGCCCACATCATGCCACATTGCATGCATGCCCCACTTTCTTAATTTATTTTAAGTTTATGCCCACAACATGCACCATTGTCCACATGGTGGTGGTGGCTTCAAGGCTCCTTGCCTGGCTTTATTTGTGTGTTGTGGCCCCTGCTCGAAGTCGGCACCCCTCTGCTTACTGCAGCCGTACTTCTAAACCTTTTCTTCCCCACCACTGCCTTTCGTGGTCCCTCCACTGGCTCTGAGAAGTCTCTACGCACAGGTCAGAGGGCAGGAGCGCACAAATGCTCATGCACCCATGTGAGAGCATAACCTCCAGTCAGAGGAGGAAAAGCAGATTAACGCATTGGTGGCTCTAGACTCTGCGAAACATGAGGCCCCCACTAACACTTAACATGGAAAAATAAATAGGGGTTGTATTGTCTGTATAAGGAGCTGTAGTCAGTGCCATACAAAGGGACTGGCTCCTCTTCTGCTGGTTTGGTATACAGAAGTACGAATGTGAAGGGGTTATTTGAATCAAAAATGAACATTTTGGTTGAGCAAAAAAGCTTTTTAAAAAAATAATTTACCAAAGAATAAAGTTCCAGATAAGAAACAGTGTCATATACATTTCTCCTCACAAATTCTATAATCCTTTTACATATATATTATAGTATATGTTCTTCATATGTGTTTTTCCATGTTTTGTATATGTGTTTATTATATATGTTGCATTGCTCATACCATACCACCCTCAAAATTGCAGCCATAAACACACACTAATACACAAACACATATACACACTCTGACACAGGCACATGCATACACACACAAACACACTGATGTACAGAGACACACATTAACACATACAGGCATGCAGTCACAGTGTGTATCTGGCTGTGTGTATTTCTGAGTGTGCACTGTCTACCTGTGTATGTGTCTGAGAGAGTGTGTCTGACAGTGAGTAACCTTGTCTGTGTCTTTATGAGCATATTTATGTTTGTGTCTGGGATCGTATTTGTGTAAGATAGCAGCGTACAGTGTGTTGTGTGTATGGGACTCTGCCTGTGGGTTTAGTGCATTGTGTTTATGGCAAAGCTATGTTTCATAACTTTGTGTGTATGATGAGTGTCTTAAGGGGGTGACTGTAACAGGGTGGGGAAAAGAATAACTGTTTCAGGGTGAGTGTGACAGGGCGAGAGGTGTTAATGAGGGGGTGAGTGGTACAGACTGAAGGAAGGCGACTGTGACATAGTTGGAGGAGGGAGTGTGACAGTGCAAGAGAAGTATGATGGGATTAGGGGAGGTTAATGTGACAGGGTTGAGTGTGGCAGGGTTTAGGGGGGGTTAATGTGGCAGGGTGAGTGTGGCAGGGTTGAGGGAGAGCGTTTGACAGAGTGAGGGGAGGTGAGTGAGACATGATTAAGGGTGACATGGTGAGTAAGGCAGAGTAGGTGATGAGTGTGACAGGGTTGGGAAGGTAAGTGTGACAAGTTAATGTGGTAGGGTGAGTGTGGCATGGTTAAGGGGGTGAGTGTGACAGGGTTGGGGTGAGGATGGCAAGGTTGGATGAGGGAGTGAGACAGCGAGAGGGAAGGTGAGTGTGAGGTGGGGGGGGGTTGTGTGACAGGGTGATTAGGTGGGGTTTGTTTGACAGGGTGAGTGTGGAATAATTGGTGAATGAGTGTGATAGGATTAGAGGGTGTAATGTGATAGCATGAGTGTGGCAGGAAGAAGGAGCAGAGTGTGACAAGGTCGGCGGATGAGTGTGAGAGAAGGTAAGTGTGATTAGGGAATTAGGGGGTGTTAATGTGATACGGTGAGTGTGGCAGTGCGAGGGCGGGTGAGTGTAAAATCCAGGGCCGCCATCAGGGGGTGACTTAGCATAACGGTTGTCACGGGCCCGGCAGTCCTGTGGGGCCCGGACTGTTTTAGCAGTCCCGGGCCCCACAATTACTCTCTGCACCTATATATAGCGATGATCACTATATATAGGTGCGGCCGCAGGCCCCCCGCCCCCCTCCCCCGGCTCCCTATACTTGCAGAGGGAGCCCGGCGGACTGCAGCTGTACTTTACAGAATTTCCCTTGCTCTAACTCCCGTGAGACGTGCAGCCGTTAGAGCGTTGCCATGGGTTACCATGGCAACGCTCTGCGCGGGGCGCACACCTCATCTTGCGGGAGTTAGAGCAAGGGAAATGCTGTAAAGTACAGCTGCAGTCCGCTGGGGCCCCCTCTGCAAGTATAGGGAGCCGGGGGGCCCCACAATGCCACCGGACCACCAGGGTTCATGGAATCTCCCCCCTCCTTGGACCAGATAAGAAACAGGGAGGAGGGAATAACAGTTATTACATTTACATGCATTCACTACTAAACACACACACACTGCATCCACTGCACTGACATACACTCTGCATTCACTACACTGACACACACACTGCATCCACAACACTAACACACACACTGCATCCACTACATTAACACACACACTGCAGACCTTGTGCTTTGTCAGGGGCCCCAAAATTTCTGGTGGCGGCCCTGGTAAAATCAATAGTTCAAGGGGGGTTGGCATGGGGAGTGACAGGACTAGGGGGTTAATGTGAGTGTAAGTGTTTTGGGGGTTAAGGCAGTGTGTGGGAGACTGCCAATGTGACCAGCCTCCAAACACTATACCTTTTTATTCTGCAGTGACCTATTCCTTGGAGGTCCAGTGTTTTTTTTTGTTTTTTTTTTTAAACCTGGTAAAATTATTCACGTAATACCTAGAAAAACCTTATAAACATTCTATTGCAACATCCCTGTAAGTCTACGGTATGAGATTTTCAAGAGTTTTCTTAAAACTCCATTCTATTGCAACATCCCTGTAAGTCTACGGTATGAGATTTTGAAGAGTTTTCTTAAAACACTTGCATATTGATTGCTTCTAGCCCTAATCCTGGTCATTTATGTCTAATTCATGGGGGTTAGTTTGTGGAGCAGTGGACTGTTTTTAATACTGAACACTGGGTGGCGACAAATACTTGCTTTGTTTCTCTAACACCTGGGAGTCATTATACAAAGAATTTAAAGTTATTTAAAATAAAGTGTGGAATGTTTAAAAAAAAAAAAAAAAAAAATACCCAACAATGTACAGTATCCCTTCCCATCTCTTTTAAGTTCATCTTACCATATTACTTGCGATTTATATGTGAGGTTGTTACTTGATAGTACATTTCTCCTTCGAACAATGCCTCTGCTCCCTGGCTATATGAGTGAGACCTTTTTGGCAATTTACATTTTCACTGGTATATTAAAACATTTTGATGTGTGATCAATCCATGCTCTGTGGGGTAATAATAACTCATGCTTGGCTCGGAGAGGTCTTGCTGAATGTATGTATGAGGCCTAGGTCTGAGCTCTTTGGTCTTTTCCTTCTACCCAAGCTCCTGCCCTGATGTTCAGTATTCTCTACAGGACAAATTAGACCACGGCCAGCATTAATATTGCCTTTTTTTAAAGGGTTCAGGAAAGTGTATTTAATAAAGGCCATTTTGAAGACAATCTGTGCCCAACGTGGGATGAAAATGGCCTTCATCTTCGGTCCTGGAGAGTTAAATATGAAGAGCATCTTAATGAGAACTCACCGGAAACTTGGTATCACTGGTTTTCCTGGGCTGAGTTACTGAGTTTGCATTAAAACCAGAGTGAAAGGTAGGTGTAGGACACCTCGCTGTACATAACAGAGTAAGGAGACAAACTGCGTTAAAAAAAAACAAAAAAAAAAAACACAACCTTTACCATTTGTACCCAGTGTGAAAGGTTACTCCAAGCACCATGACCACTGCAGCTTTCTGTAGTGGTTATGGTGCCAGAAGTACTCTGACCCTGTTTCTTGCCAATGTGGCAATCCGTTTTGCCTCTGCCAAGGGGCCTCAACGACCTGTGACGTGCATCTGAGTCCTGCATAGCGACAGAAGCCAATCCTGCCAGCCATTCATTGGCCGAGAGCAGGCTGGCTAATTCCGCACCAATGGCACTGCCGTTTGTGAAGTTACACCGTGGCAGCAAAGGGGTTACACTCCGTATGTGCAGCACATACAGACTCCAGGCACCAGGAACACTTCAAATCACTGTTTACTATGATTCATTTTTAAATCTCATATAGTTTACCCAGCAATTTTTAAGTTAATGAAAAGAGATTTTACATGGTTTAGAGAAAAGTAAATTATTCTGCTATTAGTATTCAGCACACATGTAGACCCATGTTATATATAGTGTAACTGTAATTCTTTTTCAATTATTTTGATCAGTTTAGGGACTGTTTTAATCACCCCAATGCATGCATGGGGAGGGGACACTTTCACATAAATGTTTTTTAAATATTTCACACATATATCAGACTGTAAAAAATGTATTCAGCCCCATCAGTACCAATGATGGCCCTACTGTGACAATTACAGAGGATTTATATAATCATGGTCATGAAAGGGTTAAGTGTATTTACTGTAAAAGGCAGGTTATAGGAAAACCAAGGTTCCACTAAAAGAATTTATTACAAAGTATCCCCTATTGGTAAATGCTTGCTTCCTAGGAAACAGAACAGTAGCAAATCCTATAACTGCAAATAATATGTCTCCCAAGAGTTATAAGGCAGGACGTATTTACAGAGTACAGCATGGTATGTACATATTTATATATACACAGTGAGTACCTACATAACTGGAGACACAGATTTTATGACAAATGTAAAGACTTAATCCGAAACATGTAAACAAGGATAGAAAGGAGAGATGCTCTGGGACAGGGACGAGATAAGGGGCAATTACAAACTATTGTAATCAGGGATTGGAGAGAGAACGCGGCATGTTCATAATATGTAAACCTGGAATGAGAGGAGAATAGGGATGGGATTAGACTATAAACCGAGGCTGGGTAAGAAAAGGGGTGAGCTGAGACTGTATAACGTGGGTTTGGGTAGAAAAGCATAGATTGTTAAATCATGGAGCAGGTTTGGAATATGTAAACTGGGATTTGGAAGCAAAGGGAAGGGTTCCGACTAAACTGGGGTGAGGAAGAAATAGGATGGTTTCAGGATATCGTAAGTGGGCTTAGCAAGAGAAAATACCAGTTGTAAATTGTCCAAAAATAGGGAGGGTTCACGCTATGTAAACTGGGATTGGGAAGCAGAATGGAAAGGTTGTGAAAATATGAATTAGAAAGAAGAATACGTCATCAAAGAACATGATCAGGGATTTGGAAGAAAAATGGAGGGGATCAAACTGTAGAAACTAATATCAATTAGAAATGGGCCCAGTAAGAGATTGTACACAGGATGACTACATAAACTGGGATTAGTGGTGGTGGTGGGGTGGGGACGACGACAATCTATGCAGAGATTAGGAACAGGAAGAAGGTCATACTAACATGACTGGAAAGACATGTAATGGGGATCAATGTCTGTAAACAAGGTTTTGGGGAAGGGGAGAAGTCATACTATGTAAACAAGACGATTGGGAAAAGCCGAACAAGAAATCCAGAAATCCAAAATGTTGAATTATTTTTCAGTCTCTTTCAGGGGAAAGTTAAAGTTAAGTCCTTTATCCTATTAATCGGTTCATGAAACATGGCCCACGATGGTAGTATTGCCAAATCAGTCTGTATTGCAGCATGTTTGCAGTAATGGCAGTTTGGAAGTGGTAAACGAGCCATGTTAGACGTGGCTCCGTGTAGTGCTGCCCCCTGGTGTTCAGGGGCTCAGCAGCGGTGTGACTTGCACAAGTCGTGCATGTGTCTTGCACTAGCACAGTCTTCAGTCCTTTGGACCTTTGTCTCAGTTCACCGTAGACACCTGGCTTTGATGCAGGCTGAACTCCTTGGCTTTAAGGCGCAAGCTGGCAATGCTATCCGCCATGTTCACCCCCTGCGTGGGCACCGTTGTGGTAGCAGTGGTTGTTGGGCTGTAGGGTGGCAAGCTGGCATTGCTGAAAAGACAAAAAAAAAATCAATGATAGTATGAATAATACATGAAAAAATTCTATTCATGCAAGTGGCCAGATTAAGTTTAAAGTTTATCAAATGTTCAAAACCAAAAAATATATAGTACTAGCGGTACTCATAAATTAATGAGTACGCATTCTGTAACACTTACAGAAAAAAACCCAAAGCACCATAACCACTACATCTTGATGTAGTGGTTATGGTGCCTAAAGTACGCTGGTGCTCTCTCCCATTGTAAGTAGTATTAAAATATTTGACATCTTACCGGGGGTCTGCTGGGTGTCATTCCCCTACCTCCACTACAGCCTTTTGAGAGCCAGAAGCCCTTGCTCAGGAGAAGAGGGGGTGCTAGGGCACTCTTGGCACCATAACAACTGCAATTTGCTGTAATGGTCACGGTGCTTGGAGTTTTACTTTAATTTAACAAAATATCACAATTCAATATATTACATACAAAAAGCTACTTAACTTCCTGATTTTGTTTGAGAGTGGGAATAGTTAATGTCAATGATCTTCACTGGAAATCAAGTGTTTTTTTATGTGCAAGTGCACAATGTAGTTTAAACAGTGTAATATAAATCCCACCAGATCTCCTGTTTAGCTGTGCAGCAAACTGCAAGCAAATCTATAGAAATGGATGGTTAGATTATTTAATTCTGAAAGCAGAATTGGTCATGGCGGCTAGAGAAACGCTTTAAATTGTGGAATATATTTAGAGGACTTTTTATCCATTTTTCATGTTTCTTTACGTTTTACAGTGTATTAAACCATTGATGTATTATGTCAAGTCAATACCCACATTGTACATATAATCAGTTTAGCCCTTGCAGAATGGAATGGATATGTGCTGCCATCTGATTATATAATATTGAAATGTTTCCACTTTTTTAGGAAAACCCACTTTCATTAGCCATGTGATCTTGCAAGTAGTGTGTGAACACAGTAAGGTATTGTCACATTGTCAGCAAAAAAGGAGTTTATTTACTCAGGGTGTTAAGAATCATGGAAAATGTAAGTTGATTTCCGTTGGAAGCCATGTCTATGCCTTTTAGCAGGCAGTATTAAAGGAACACTATAGTGTTAGGAATATAACACTGTGTTCCTCTATCTCTTCAGGTGGCAAATAAAGGGTTATAAACCTATTTCAGACGTACCTGATTCCAGCGCCTCTATCTCTCGGTGCTGGGTCGGACTCCTCCTCCGGCGTCAGCCGATGGGAGAACCTAATGCTTCCTAATCAATGCTTTGCGATGGAGATTTAGAAGAAGCTGGACGTCTTCATGCAAAGCGAGTTAAAGTCTGAGCCTGCCGGAAGCACCTCTAGTGGCTGTCTGGAAGAGTGCCATTAAAGGCAGGCTTAACCCTGCAATGTAAACATTGCAGTTTCTCTGAAACTACTATAGTGCAGCTTCAGGGCTAAAATGACAGGGACACTGCACCCAGACCATTGCAATGTGATGAAGGGGTCTAGGCAGTGGGTGACTAAGGGGGGGGGGAGGGGGGCGGAGGGGGCGGTCCACCCCAGGTGCCACCTGGTAGGGGGGTGCCTTGACCCTGGTCTTGGGGCTGGAGGGGGCTGTGTGGGCTGTGCCCCATGGCAGCTGGGGTGTCATACAGCTCCCACGGAGACCAGCAAGATTAACTGGCCGCACGGGAGGAAGAAGGGGCGGAGCCTAACCGCGAGCAGGGGCTGCTGTTAATGCTGCACCTCCACCTACCAGGCTCCAGGGAAGGACTTCAATGAATCCACTCCTCCAGCCCACACTGTAAGTAAGTATAAGAGTGTGTGTGACTGTCTGTCTGTAACTGTGTGTGTGTGTGTGACTGTCTGTAACTGTGTGTGTGTGTGTGTGTGTGTGACTGTCTGTGTGTGTGTGTGTGTGTGACTGTCTGTCTGTAATCAGGTGTGTGTGTGACTGCCTATCTGTAACTGTGTGTGACTGTCTGCCAGTGTGTGTGTGTAACTGTGTGTGTGTGTGTGTGTGTAACGGTCTGCTCCGTAACTGTGTGTATGTGCTTAACTGCCTCACCTGTAACCGTGTGCGCGTAACTGTCTACCTGTAACCGTGTGCGTGCGTGACTGTCTGCATGTAACTTTGTGCATGACTGCCTGTAACTGACTGTGTGTGTAACTGCCTGTAACTGTGTGTGTTTGTGGCTGTAACTATGTGTATGACTGTCTGCCTGTGACCGTGTGTGTGACTGTATATGTGACTGTCTGCCTGTAACAGTGTGCGTGACTGTGTGTAACTGCTTGTAACTGACTGTGTGTGTGTGTGTGTGTGTAACTCTCTACCTGTAACTGTGTGTATGACTATATGTGTAACTGTCTGCATGTGACTGTGTGAGTGTGACTGTCTGCTTGTAACTGTGTCTGACTATCTGTCTGTAACTGTGTGTGAGGGGGGTGCAGGGATTTTGTAGAGAGTGGCAGGGGTTTTAAAAAGTTTACAACTTTGTTCAATAAATGTTTTAAAAAATGTAAAAAATATAACACATTTTAAAAATGTAGTAGTTTTTTTTTTTTTTGGAGAAGGGGGGGGTGCCAAACCCAGGGCCCGCCCTGGTTGCCACATGCCCCAGGTACGCCCATGGGTCTAGGTACCTATAGTATCCCTTTAAAACACCAGAAATAGAAAAATTGTAATATACAAGGTTTTGGGAGCTTTTCCAACAAGTCCATTTTTCTAACCTAAATTTTCTTATTTGATGGTCATTTCACCACAATGTATTGTTTAGTGAATAGTCCTCTCTTCTCGAGCCTCACCCTTGGAAACTCAGTATATTTAGCAGCTAAGGGCATGCCGGCCCTTTAACAGAGCTCATTCTATATGTATTTAGCTCTCTCTCACCTGTAGCTACTGTTAGAATTCCAGGACAGGTATTCCGGCGTCAAGGTGGCAGATCTGGGGGTAACTTGCTGCTCCACAACAATGTCAGGGCTGTAAGACTTCAAGAGAGAAGACGACCGACTGGCAAGTAAGGCTCTCTCGTTCCTGCGGAACTTGGCTCTTCGGTTTTGAAACCAGACCTTTCAAGAACCAGAAAGAGCAATTAAGTGTCTCAAATGATAACAACGTGGCATTTCTGTGTTGTGGAAATTGCCAAAAAATGACATAAAAGGGACTAGCAATCCAATACATAAAAGTCACCACTTGCAAAACACCTGCACATTATCATCATACCATGTGGATTTAAAGGGACACACCAAGTACCTAACGTATAGTGACAGTGTGGGTTATGGTGCTCATTTGACACTGTTTCCCTTTATGACAGCCCCACTTTAGAATAGTCACTGTTGTTATAAGCTTACTGTTTTCATAGCTTTCTATGAGCCTGTACCTGTGTGGACATCCTACACCTGAGGAAGACCCTAAGTGGGTCGAAACGTGTTGTATTTGGAATCATCAGGACTGAACTTTGGTTGAAAGCTCCTTACTATGATGTAAGGGTTTGTATGTTTTATGTGAATAAATTGGATGCATTATTTTAATTAGGTTCTCTTTTAATCTCAATTTTTTATTGGAGACAAGTTAATTACAAGATTTACACACAAGAAATTGTAACCACTCCAGGGCCAAATTACCTGAGTCAGTATTTTACAGGCTCAAAAAAAGTGAGAGAGATGTGATTAAGCTTAAAGGACCACTATAGGCACCCAGACCACTTCAGCTCAGCTCAGTGGTCTGGGTGCCAGGTCCATCTAGGATTAACCCTGCCTGATGTGAAGAGAAACTGCTATGTTTACTTTAGGGTAAATCCAGCCTCTAGTGGCTGTCTCATTTACAGCCGCTAGAGGCGCTTCCGCGATTTTCACATAGAGAAGACGCCAGCGTCCATAGGAAAGCATTGAGAATGCTTTCCTATTGACTGGCTGAATGCGCGCGCATGCTCATTCAGCCAATGACGACCGAAGGAGGAGGAGAGTCCCCAGCGCTGAGGGAGCCCGGCACTGGAGAAAGGTAAGTGTTTAACCTCAGGGCACTATAGTGCCAGGAAAATGAGTTTGTTTTCCTGGCACTATAGTGGTCCTTTAACACTGAGTGTACTATTTATATTACATTGGCTGTACTAACCTATATGAGTATTTATTTATTTCAGCTATTAGCGGAAGAAAGATCTTAGAGGGATATATATAATTTTATGTAATACACTAAGCCACTGAGCATTTGTACATAACTGCAATATTAAATAGAGTGCGCCACCCTTTTTTGTTTTGGTTTGGACTTTCAATTATGGTGAAATTGGGTGATTGATTTCAAAGTGGGATTTGGCTGCACTTATAACACACATGGCGCCATTGTATATTGCACACTTTTTTTTGGTATATTTTAGCTTTCTATGAGACCTTTAAGTATGGCCACAAATGACTTAATGCAAGAAACCGCAATCTTTTCTTTATGGTTTTTCAATAATGAAACTATTAGCTTTAGTGCATATCCCCTGTATATCTGCTGAAAATGGGCTTATGGGTTAACTTTGATAACAATTTTGTAAAGTGCTGCAGAATTAGTTGGCGCTATATAAATAGCAATAATAATAACAACAACAACAACAGGAAGGTCAAGATTGGCACGTCTTGGTACATCTGCAACAAGCAAGCACCATGAAAGGTGACTGTAGAATCTCATGCGATGGAGCTCTGTGTGACACATAAACCCACTGCATATTATTGTGTGTGTTACTGCTGTGTAACTCACATTCATTTATATATTTGCTGTCAAGCATTGTTATATGCTCATACACACACGTCAATACTTTATTGCCGTGGAGAGCACACAACTGAGAGCTTAAATGGTTTGGAGCTCTGAGAAGAACACAACTATACAACAAATGACTCTGAGACATCTAGCTGCAGAGGTCTGTGATGTTCTATCCATGATAGACAAATGTTTCCCTACCCAAATATTCAAGGCTCACCCACAGTCCAAGTTTTTTGAATATCCCCAATTGGAATAAAATTGAGAAATTCTCAAATCCTGGACTGTTTGTGGATTTGGGCCCCAATCTGAGCTCTGCTGCAGTGGTATGCCCATACAATGATTCTGAGCTCCTAAGAAGAAGGAATGCAAAAGTAAGAAAGAGCGACGTGGGGTACAAAGAGTGCCACTTGGAAGGTAAGACCAGTTTTACTGAGTTTTTTTTAAAGGTAGGGTCAATTTGTCTGTAAAAAAAGAAATATATTCAGTAATAGGGTAGTATTATAAAGTAATATTTAGCTGGTTGGGAAATGTAGACAATCACAGCTGGAGTGTCTAGGCCAAGGATAGGCAATCTTCGGCACTCCAGATGTTGTGGACTACATCCCCCATAATGCTCTTATACACTTATCCACATATTGCGGGCAAAGCATCATGGGAGGTGTAGTCCAAAACATCTGCAGTGCCAAAGGTCGCCTATGCCTGGGCATTACTAATCTACACAGTACTTATTACGTTCCCCAAACTGTGCCTGAAACTCTACCATAACATTATATATTATCGAAGGCGACAAATTGTAATTTTTCATATTTCAAAATCCAAAAATGATCTATCTAGATTGGCCATCAATGTTATTTCCTAGGTATGTAATGAGAGTTTTAGCAGAGCAGCCAAAAGGTTTAAAAATAAATCAATCGAACAGGATAGATGGTGACACTCACCTGTACTCTGGCTTCACTCAGGTTAACCCTCCGTGCCAAATCCTCTCGTACAAAGGCATCAGGATAGTGTGTCCTCTCAAATACCCTCTCCAGAGCCTGCAGTTGGTTGCTGTTAAATGTTGTTCTGTTCCTCCTCTGTTTCTTTTTCCGGGCATTTTTCGTACAGCCAAGATTAGGGCTTCCACCTAAAAAAAAAAAAAATGTTAGTTGAAGATTTTAGTGCAACAAAGCAGAGTTAAAGCAATGTTATCATAAATTGATTGATAAACATAACCAAGATCTTGCAGAGTTTGACCTAGACCTAGGGTTTGGCTGTAAACGTAAGTAAGAATGTACATATGGTGTTTATAAAGTGATAATATATTCTGCAACATTGTACAACAAGCAAACTTTGCAAGCAACCAACAAACTGAAGAAAGGTGGCTTTCCTTTGTGAAACGTAAAGAGGCCATGTCAAGTTTTTTTTTTGGTTTTTTTTGGGGGGGTGGGGGGAGGGAGGAGAGGAGGGGTTCCTTTCCTCGTGCTTCTTGCATTTTAAATGAACACTATAGTCACCAGAACCACTATAGCTGAATGTGTGGTTCTGGTGTCTTTAGCTAGGCCCTGCAGGGTTTTTAATGTAAACATTGCCTCTTCAGAGATAAGGCAGTGTTTACATTGTTGGCTAGTTACACCTCTAGTGCCAGTCGCTCAGATGTCCACTAGAGGTGCTTCCAGGGTCAGTGCTGCAAATTGTGCAGCACTGGCGTTCAGTGTCTACGTAGCTCTACATTGAGGCGCTGGACTTTCCTTTAAAAAGATGCATTGATTCAAAGCAACTCTACGAGGAGATGTTGATTGATGCAGTGTTGCGCATGCACAATAGCTTTCTAATGTTTTCCTATGACCAGTGTGGCGTGGGACAAAAGGTGAGCTGAAACACCTTATTGCTCCACGCTGGGTGCCGAACAACTTTACAGTGTCAGGAATACATGTTTGCTCCGGGTGCCAATAGTGTCCCTTGACTGCTATACACGAGAAAAAGGATGTATCTGCTTTTCCTTATGTATTTTATGGAAATTACAGCACTCAGGAAATAAAAATAAAAAACGATTCAGACACAGGGAGCTATATAGAAGCAGGTTAGATAAAGTTTATTTTTGATGACAGAGTGGCTTTTAAAAAAAATGGAAGAAAAAAAAAGAGATCAGACAAATTCTCCTGGAAGTCACTATGTCAATACTCTAAATTATTAATACAAGCGGATACATTAAAGTTATACTGCCCAGATTAAAATGCAATCATTTTCTTAATGAAAGGCACGCGGCCTCCTGCGATATATAAATCTGATTTGTGCCACTACAGAAACACACAACATAAATCAGCAGGATATGTTTGCCATTCAAGACAGGCAGCTAGAATGCATACCTGCCAAGTGTCTAAGTCTTGCAACAAACCGCTCTAATTTGGAATTCTGTCCTGTTCTCGTATTCTGGTGCCCTGTATGTCCGGAGCACAAAGGCTGACAAGGTTATTCACCGAAGTGATCATTTTCAGGAATTCAAGTTCATTTCAAATTTAAAGGGACACCATAGTCACCCAGACCACTTCAGCTCAATGAAGTGGTCTGGGTGCCAGGTCCCTCAGGTTTTAACCCTTCAGATGCAAATATAGCAGTTTCAGAGAACCTGCTATGTTTACATTGCAGGGTTAAGCCAGCCTCTAGTGGCTGTCTTCTGGACAGCCACTAGAGGCGCATCTGCGACGCTGGAGGCATTTAATGCCTCCATCACGCAGAGCGTCCATAGGAAAGCATTGAGAAATGCTTTCCTATTGACAACTTAAATGCGCGCGCGGCAGAGGGAGCTGACATCGGCGGGGGAGGAGAGGTCACCAGCGCTGAGGGAGCCCGGCACTGGAATAAGGTAAGTGGCTGAAGGGGCTTTAACCCAGCAGCGCCACGGGAATAAATGTGTGGATCGGAAAAATAGATGGAAGACAAGACAGACTATTCTGCACGTACACAGCCAAATAAATCAACTTCACGTTGAAACACATTTGGTTAATCTCTACTGGACCTATTTCTCCACTGTGGACATGATGTTCACAGCTGCTCTCGTGCACTGGGGGAATAAAAGCAGCCGGTTAACAGGGTTTATAAGTTCCAACCAGGCCCAACTGGCATGCGCACAATTCTCCAACTGATAGACAAGAGAGAAGACACGGTTAGGTGAAAAGGGCAACAGGACAGAGGCATAACAAAATCGGGGAGATTTATAAAAAAGATTTTAACCGAGAAAAATAATTAGTTTTGCGAAAGTTGACTATGAAAACAAGGATCCTAAATCCGATAAAATATAAAGGAGATTAATTTATTATTTAGGCAGTAACCACAGGGACTGGTGATTATGTGTATAGTTTTCCAATAAAGACCCATTGAAGAGTAATTTAAAAAAAAAAAAAATTTTTGGGAGGAGATAGTTGCAGAGAGTGTTCTATATAAAACAGGGGTTCCCAAACCAGATCTCCTAATTCTGCTCCACTGGGGACGCAGGAAAGCCTAGACTCTGCATTACTAAGACAAAACAAATAGATTAGGAGATAGCAGCAAAAGTTATTTTTAGGATCTGCGGCTTTTTGGCTTGTGGGGCTTGTCAAGCCCTTTGTGAAACTATCAACAAAAGAAGACATGGTAAAATGTTCTTTGAGTTAGAGTGATATATGGCACTTTTGAATGCAGAGTAGTAGCACAGCTGCAGATATAATACAGGATTCCCCAAATGTGTTCGGTGCTCTGATCTCTTCTCCGTGGGGAGCAAATGCCACAGGAAGTCCAAACGCTGTGGATTCTATCAGAAGAATGATTTCACAATGGCGGATCAGGTTGCAGGATCCCCTGACACCAAAAGCCATCACACATACCAGCCTAACAGGGTTATAATAATACCACGTATGTCAACACTTCTTCGCAATAAGGAGACATTTAGCAATGGTTCAGAACAGAGGAAATTTTCTTTTATTACGTGTACACTTCCAATCAAATATATTTAGTTTTACGTTTGTAACAATTACCGTGTGTTTTAGTACTTTGTAAGTATACCATTTATATAAAATAAATATCCTGTTAAGAGTAGACTTTGGACCACTACATCTTTTCTGAAGACAAGAGGCCACTTGGAATATCATGGACGGTATAGCTGTGGCATTGTGTTTGAAGATTTATAATGTTTATACCTTCTGTTGCACCCGTTTAACACAGAGGAGTGTTAGATTTGGAGATTTGATTACCAGGATGGAGTTTTTTTTTTAAATTTTCCTTGCCTCCTTGTTTAGGTGAGTGGTTTGAGTGACTGAAGAAACAGAATGCCACAAACCAACGTTTTCTGGCAACTGGAATTAAAGACCTAAAAGCTCCTAATTTCTAGACTGAAATCATATAAAGTGCAGAAGTGCCAGCCCCTTTTAGATTTGCATCCCTTGTGATCTTTACGTAAGCTAGTTTGAGTAGGATACTCATCAACCTATTGTTCCTGTAACATTTTCTAATTGTCTCACTTATTGTTAAATGCCCCCCTTTTATAATATTGTAAAGGGGAATAAGTATAAATGCCAATAATAATAATAATATGCCACTGGAAATGGGATGCAAAATATATATTTGCATTTTGAGCAGACAGTATAGCGGAACAGAGATGTACTAAAAATTGGACGGTGGCAGACAAACTGTGATGGACCCTCGTTTGGAAAGGAGCACCGATATGCAAGGATATGGGGGGCATGACCAACACATTTTGTAACTTCTTTAATTATCTAGTAACTGGTTCACTAAGATGTCTCATTCTCCCTAGGAGTAAAAGGTAGGCCAGAATTGGACCATTTACTCGCTGCGCCTAAAGGGACACATGATGTATCTCACATTCAAAGCCCATGGTAAGCTGTTTGGGTAGCTAAATCTCTTGCCCGGCATTCAAAAATCTGGACTGTCCCTGTTAATTGAACCAGCATACTAACGGAAGAATTCCCCTGTAATAGGAATAATGAGCGAGATATATATAGTATCCTAAGCAAGCTTCATTGCTCTGTCTTCTGTTGAGATCGCTTCTAATAATGATGACATTATTTTGGAGCCTGCGACCTTGAAGCACAAAAGATATTCCTGGATGCAAAATATACATATTAAAAAAGAGAGAGATGATTGATGTAACCTCAAAACACAAATCATTCTAAGACAGACTTATGGAACACTCACAAATTTACAGATTTCAATCCAACCTATAGAATTAAGATTATTAGTGCCTGTGCAGTCCTTAGGTGTTTGGTGTGTAACACATAATTGCCGTGAACATGTAGCAATTCAATGGTGTTAACATTTGATCTCTATAAATAATAGTTAAGCCTTTGGAATTACCGCTTCAGTACGACACCAAATCAGGCAGCCAACCGAGTATAGCTGCCAGTGTCTCAGTACAGCATTTCAAGAAAGGGTTACAGGTCTTTCATTCATGTTTTTGTCATCCGAAAAGTGGGCCTAAGAGAGGGCTATAAATCCTCCCAAATATATAAATAAACATAGGCCAGGCTGAGCTGGAGAGCATATTACTGTGTTTGTTATTCTCTGGAAGGTGATGAGGGCATAATGCGATTTTCGGTAGCCCCCACCATTAAACCACCACCTTTCCCTGCACTATATCCCCCGTCACCAGATCAGCTATTTAATTAATTAGCAGCTCAGCTAGAAAATAAACTGGAAATGTGATACCGGATGATGACAGGTGAGGGAAAATAATCTAATTCAAATCCTTCTCTCTGCGGATTTTACAAATTAACGCGGCAGAGCTTAGATGTGACCTCTGAGGAGGTGTTTTGGGTGTAAAACGACCCGATCTCCCAACTGGCAGAGGGTAGAATACAAACCAAGGGTCTGGTGGTCCAAAACGCAGAGTGATTAACTAGTCTCACTCAATGCCACTCTGCTTAGTAAGCGAAATTAATAATGTTGGCAGAAGGATGGCGAACATGATTTAACTTCCTCTCCCTAATTCCATAGGGTCGTAAAACAAACCATTATGTATTAGTCGAAGTCCTGTGAAAGTAAAGATTTCAGTGTAGTATTTGGAGACACTCAAGCTCAGGCAATTAATTCATATCACACCTCTGATAATCTCTGACTTCACATCGTGGGGCCTCTTGGGCTAGCAGATGTTGCAATGTCTTGCAACTTCTCTCTATGAGGCATAAAGTTAAAAGAAGGGCTCCCAGACTGATGAATCAGGAGGAAAGGGGATGTGGGTTCATGAATATGCTGTTTAAAAATGTTCTCAGCGACCTTTTACCTCTGACAGGGAGGATGAGCTGAAGACAGAAATTACCGGACCTCCGGCAAGAACCCCCTTTTCCCCATAGTCCCTTGGTGCTAAAAATGAAACAGGATTTTCCTTATGCTGTGAATGTGGTTTGATGTGCTATTTAATCCTCATAAAGCTATTTCTGGGGCTGTTCTTAAATTAACAAGAAGAAAAATTGGCAGATACTGAGGACATTATGAGAAAAGGAAATTTTCGAAATGTGCTCAGCTGGAGGCCAGTCAAACAAAATGTTAACCCTTACACAGAATCCCAAAGAAAAAAAACTCAACAGTTATTGCTAAAGTTCTCCTTAGGTGGGTAAACCCATAAACAACATGGTAAATCCGAAAAGCTAAGAATCCCAGAAAACTACCCAGAAAAATATCAAGAACTCTCAATCACGTACATGAGAATACAAATTGGTACGAACACTCTGACACAAAAACAAATGACATGGTTTGCTTCTGCAACTGTATTAGAACACATTTGATCAGATAACGGCTTCAGATGTAGAGTGATTTTTGTAATTTTTTTTAAACCAACCAAATTGCAGATCTACCACACAATCTCTCAAATTCCAAATACTGACCGTCCATCCAGTTTGGGATATTTCCCTAACAGGTTTTTGGTTGAAGCTGAGGGTTTTTTTCCTGGATGAGGAGAGACCCTTCCTCATAAAATGATAGGTAATCACCAACGTCCAAAGGCAGAATCAAAGCTTAAGGAGTTAAAGGAAAGAATTTCAACCACTGCTCTGCTTGAAATAAAGTATTGGTTGGGTGTTACTTACATGTGGGTAAACAAACCATAGCAGGCGGAACCAGGCAAGCCTGTCAGCATGTTGGCTATTAGTGTGCAAGTCACAAGACGAGGCGGTAAGGAAGTTATTACAGTCGTCCTGAGGGAAATAGGTTCATAATCCAAGATCCAGTGTCATAGGAAGGGCTGTGGGAACCAACCCCCTACAGTTCCTTGATCACAGTTGACAGACTTCCAGAGACTTTTCCACTTTCAAAGAAGAAGGTCAAGGGATCTGCTGTCCAGTGATACACATTGAAAATACAATAGATTACTTACAATGTATCAACGTTAAAGCAACTCCTTTCAGACATGACTGTGTAGAACAACCCAGCCACATCGGGATGCTCCAGTCAAATACAAAAGACCTGCGATAGACGACTTTTGGTTTGCTTATTTATTTTTCACAATTCAGTTGAATTTGTGAACTATTCATACAATTGTTCGCTTCCTCTCCCACTGGTGCTGTCTGCTCTCCCAACCTGAGCAGCTTCCATATTTGCAGCTGAAAAGGGAAGGAAGGCCTTTGTAAAGAGTTAGGGTTCTGAGACTTTGTGAGACACCTTGTGTAAAACTGTGACTTGCACATGGGAAGAAACTTCGCTCTAGTTATAGGGGTAAGAAGGAAAATGCTATTCTCAGCAGGTTTCGGTAATCACAGTGAATACATAATAAAGACACAGAGGAGATAAAAAATTGAAAACCGTTTAACCTATATGGGTCTAAACATTTGGGTTTGTTATATTTAAAGTAATGTTCCATTGTCTGTCAACACGTTTGTAATCAGTGACGGCTGGTGAAGTTTAGAGATGATTGGGTGCTGTCCTCGTGAATTGTTGGGTTTTACCACTTAACCTCACAGGATGCAATGCCCTCTTCAAAACCAGCGACGTCTCCAGTCATCAGGAAAGAGGAGAATGCTAACTGCAGATATAATCATGGCAGACTTATGTTTTTCTAACACACACTAACAGTAGCCCTTACAAGACCATTAACCAAGATGGATCCTGCAGTTTATGAGTGTTACCCAGTTCCGGTACAGCCAGAAACCCATTAAGGGGCCTGGTTGAGCACTGTGGCCTGCATGGGCCAATGCTTCACAAACTGGTAGCAATGCAGGCCAATCTTCAATGGACCGCAGGGAAACCACCCTCTTGCTACAAAACGTAGACTAAGATGAGGATGTAATATAAAGAATACATAGCAGCAATCTTAATTCACAGAATTCATTCTTTCTTTATTCCACATTTATGGGATTAAAATCTGGGGTTAAAACTGTAGCAGTCAACGCTTTCCGTAATTGGTCAACCCTTTAACCCGACTCAATAAAGAGAAAAATGTATTAAAACATAGATTACTGTAAGTTTGCTTGCCACACAGTGTATGTGGGTGTATCGGAAGGTGGGGGTGGGGGTGTATCTAAAGAAATATGGCATCATCTTACACACAGTAGAATACAATTTGCTCCCATTGTGAAATAAATTAACTAATCTTATAGAATCACTTGGGATGATGGCAGTGATTAATGAATTGATTTCAGACTGGGAGCATACGATATCAAACCATATACTGTAAGAAAGCACATGCAAGCACTGCCCTACAGAATGAGGAATGCGTAAACATGCAGGTGAAAAAATGTCAACTATATTGGTAAGTTTACACATAATTTTAATATGAATTGTAAAAGCCCATGTAAGCTGTATGATCAGCCATGTTTATTACTGGTCACGTGATCTTCAGGGTCACTCCTCCCCATTTAGTAACCTCACTCCTTTGGTAAAAGCTGATCTGGCATCGTTTAGACAAGGACTGAGGTGTAGCGATGTAAGCCCAGGGAAGCAAAGTGATACATATTTATATTTTTCCTTGTAACCACATTTCATTATAAAATATATGATTCAAAATTGTAAAATTTACGAGCTATGCCTTTCATAAATCATTTAGTAATGCCAACAGGCATGCAAATCACAGGTTTACATTAAATCCATGTATTCAGCCTTCTGATGTCAGAATGTGAGATGACACTCATATTATTTTACATATTATTTGCATTAATTAATTGTTTGCAAACTCCTACAGCTGAGCCCAACATCATCAAGGACGACATCATTATTGTTGCGATCTGTTACTCAGCACATGCCTCCCAGATTTCCCAGATCTGGGGCTGTCTCAATGTGGTGTCTGTGTGGTACCCCACTACCCTTTAACCCCAGGTATGATCCCAGTATAAAACACACTTACACATGTGTCTGAGAAACTAGACAACCAGCAGTGTGTGCACAGGAGGCTTTTTCACTAAATAGTGCATTGTAAGGAGTTGAAAGGAGACTTACAAGGATTAGTTCTTTATCCTCACTATAAATAAATGCAATTTTTCCCCTCAAAAGTGCGTACAAATTTATATTTTTACTCCTAAATCTATTACATTAGCAAAGGTTCAGCATCTAACGGAGTGATTTTGGTGCATAAACGCTGTAATTTTTTTTATGCCAATGTAAAATATTGAGGGAGGCTACATTGCAATTTTTGTCACAATAGCCACTACAGTGGGCTGTAGTGGTTATGGTATTTGGAGTGTCCCTTTAAATAAGAACTCACCTCCCAAAACACATCAGGTCCAGCGAGCTGTATTGGTTATGTTACTTAAAGTTATTCACCACGGCCTCAAACTCACCCTTTATTCTCTAATCACTCTATTTTAACATGTTCTCTTCCTATACACTTATTTCCTTTATACCAATGGCTACATTTTTTTTTCTTATTTTTTATTTTTTTTTGCAATTAACATTGCTGACCTCTATCCTTCCCTTCATTATCTTTGCCTTCAGGGTTATATTCAAGGATGAAGTCAAATGGATACTGCTATATGGAACTGCAATCAATCTGAGGCTCTTAAAATTAAGAAAAAGCATTGGCAGGGTGTCCAAAACCCTGAGTTTTCCAAAACTGACAGTTATTCTTCACTCTGTAGTAATTCTTCATCCCTGTTAATTTGCTTTTGTATTTACCGTTTTCCTAAAAACACTACATTTATAGCATCAATGCAATAAGCTGTAGGTAAAAAAAAAAAATGTGTTCTATAACCCCCCCTCTTCCCTCCACCCATAAGTTCCCTCCTGTGCCATGTGGCTGCACTCTCCTTGCGTGTGATGCTTTTATACGGCGCCTCCCAACATCTGGTACAATGTCAGTTACTGGCGCCTCGCTCAGCCACAGGCTCCATCAGAGACAAAAAGACTGTGAGAGCTTCTTTCCAAAACCCACCTCCTCTCTCCCCCCCCCCCTCCGCCTAAACTGAAAACGGAATGAATGCAACATCCCAGAATAGGGACCACAAAAACAGCCCTATCCCCACAAAGAAAACCTGTCTTTCTGACAATCACACATTGTTCTTTAAAATCCAAATGTTTGTTTATTCCCCAAAACAGATGTGTAGCTGTAATACGCAGCATGGGACTGAACTCTTTTGTTTATCATTTTCCATACTTATTTCTCTAAATTGAAGCTGGTTCAGCTGATAATGTTATTTTGTAGTGGGCTGCACTCTGGCGACTCATTTTGGATTCCATTAGACAGCGGCAGATTGTTTAAAGGGACACTCAAAGTAGCATAACTCTTCCAGCTTGCTATGGTAATTATACTGCCTAGCCCTAGGGACTCTGGCACCACCCTGCGTGTAACAGCAAACGATTTAATAATGGTTTGATATAAAATAGGGGTCTTACTGGCACCGTAGGACCACCCCCATCTCAGTTGCATTGAGAATTCCAAATTAATACTTCCATATTGTGAATGCCAGTTTTGTTTATCCTGGACAACTTTGATTGGTTAAGAGTGGTTAGGTGTGTTAATCCAGTTGTCTCAACCAATCAGAAGTGGTAGGAGGGGTTCAGAAAAGAATCCCTGGTCATATCAAGCTATGTTACTATAGGCAGCACTTACTTAGAGTGTTCATTTCATTTGAAACCAAAATGTAGAAATTCATATTCGTTCTGTTAGCCAGCTATGGTGCACATGCTAGAACAGAGATGGCCAAAATGTAGCTCCCCAAGTGTATAACACATACAGGTTATTCACTAAAGGATACATTGGATTTAAAATTTTAGGTCAAATGATGAATTGAGAACAAGTCGGCTATTGGGGCCCAACATTTGAAACTCTCATATTAGTTAATAACCCTGTTTGTGACTGGGCTGAAAAGCTTACAACCTATTGAAGAGTCCAAACTACTATCTTCTTAGAATTTGGGTACTTCTGGAGATTACATTTGGCAAAAGTACTTCCAAATTATCTATTCATCTACCAGATGGCAACAATTTACAGAATCGTTAGATAATTGATGAAAATTACATCTAGTTATTTTTTTTTTTAGTTCCTCCAACAAAAATTCATTTTCTGCTCTTTGAAAAATCAAGGTTTCACCTGGTGCAGCTAATAGCACTGCTCTAGCATTAGTCATAGAAAAACATATGTTTTTCTATGTGCATAACGAGACGGGGTCTTCCCATCTTCAAAAAGATGTGAATTGCTGAAAATCTAAGGAAAACCCTAAGTGAATTTCAATTCTTAGGCCAAGAAAACCAAACTGGTGAAATTCTCAGTTAGCTATATTTTTCAATTTGGCTTAAAATTTGAAATTCACTTTTTTACTCTTGTGGTGGTCTTTGGCTTCACTCTTGTGGTGGTCTTTGGCTTGCCAGCTTATGAGAGCCAATTGTGAGCCATGATACAATGTGGAACTCTGGGAATAAATAATTGCATGGAAATACAATCTATATGATATTTCTTCAAATTTCTTTATTTTTTTTCTAGGTAATCTGTACTGGAATTTGCAATTACCCTTTCGGTTATCCACAATTTCTTCAGGTTTAGCAAATATTGTACAATCCCATTGTACAGCGCTACCGAATCTGATGGCGCTATATAAATAATAAAATAATAATAATAATATTGTCCTAATTTTTATTTCCTCAAGTACAACACATCTTTTCTGGGTGGATGAAGATGGGTTTCCCTCGCTTGTCCCTTTTGGCTGGTATATTGCTGCCCTATGATTGCCCAATAACCCTTACTGAGTAGGAGCGTGTGTGCTTTTGCTTTAAATGAGCGGAGATTTAAAAAACCCCTTTCCCCATAAACAAATAAATACAAAACACAAGAAAAAAAAACAACTTGCTGAGGCCAGAATAAACAGTGACATAAGCCTAGAAGCAAAATCATTCTTAAAATAAGTGCAAAAGCAACTAGAGACCAGGGGCGCTTACTGGTTTATTTTTACAGAATATGTTTATTAACCCTTTAATTGGCAGACGATTAAGAAATGCCTAAGCAGTAAAATAAACATAAAGAAAATATATTTTACTGCCTAGGCATTTCTGTACTCACAACATCAAAAGGGAATGGGGACCTGTATATTTTAAAGGCTGTTTGTTTTTTGTTTTTATGTTCATAAAAAAAATATACGGTATATATTTTTTCATCATTCTTTTGACTTCATTTTGGTCAATATCCCTTTTCTTGTATTTCTGCAGTATAAAAATGTATAATAAATGACAAAAAAATTGATTTTATTTTTAATGAAGAGGAAAAAAAAACCAGGAAAATATATCGGTTTTGGTGAGAAAACGCGCCATGAGACCTTCTTACCCCTCTCCCCCTTCCCCCCCGTACCCTTATGATGTTATGAGTTGAAAGAATAAATGTGGTGGACAGTGAATTTGAGTGCGTGGGACAAGAGTGGCACTGCCTCTATGGTGGTGGGATTTTGGATTGGTCCTTTGTAGTACCAACTTATCGATTTTCGGAGAGAGAAAGAAAATGAAAAAAAAATGATACTACAAACACATTTTATTTGTTAATGTACTTAACTTCTCTTTTGAAGTGCAACCTGCCAGAATTAGGGTACCTCCTTATTATGTCAAGGACTTAGGCACTTCTTTTATACAATTAATCTTCTGGGAAATCATTTGTAATGGTGGGCTAAATAAAAATACATTTTAAAAAAGTTCAAAATGATATATTATGGGAACATCCATGATCGCTTTACCTGGAAAACACCCCATTTCCTTAATATTCAAGCAAGAAGGCAGAGGTCACATATATATTAAAGTGGGCAGTTCAGACCATAAAAGTTCCATTGCTGGTTGGAAAGGGACAGTGCCAATTGAGATGGATGGTGCTGCATATAAAATAGGTACATAGGTCACGGTTCATGGAGAAAGCTCGAAAGGAGACAGGTGAGGCTACAAGCCACTCCTCTTGCCAAACTCAAGAAAATGAGGCTTGACCCCGGGACCTGGCAATGGGATTTAAGACCAACAACAGATGGACAAAAGAGTCACGTAAGGCAGCTGCCTACTGTCCAGTTAGATGGGGCCTGGGTGCCATTAAATGCTTAGTCCCAATCAAAATCTCTACCAATTAACCATGATGGTAAACTGCGTAGGATCCCATGGCATCTTAATCCTTCTCTGATTGGACACAGAATATCTGTGCCAAAGCAAGGAGAGTCCAAGTGTATATTAGCATACATTAAATTAAAAGAAGCCTTACAGAAAAAAATTGCTGACTTTGGGAATCTTTCCGCATTGGCTACACTAGCCTAAAATTCCAATTTTCACTCAAGTCTGCCTTCCACATTTTGTAAAATTATGGCAACCTTTATCAAGTATGACTGCAACTAAAGTATAGTCCAGGAATAGGCAACCTTTGGCACGCAAGATGTTGTGGACTACAGCTCCCATAATGCTATTATAGGAGATGTAGTCCATGTAAGCTCATCGAGCAGGGTCCTCAACCCCCTCTGTTCCTGTACGTCAGTGGTCTGATCTCAATTATGTGTCTGTTAGTCCACCCATTGTACAGCGCTACGGAATTTGTTGGCGCTATATAAATAATTAAATAATAATAATAATAACATCTGGCGTGCTAAAAGTTGCCTACCCCCGGTATAGATCATAGCTTAATTGTTACACATTGAAAACAAAACAGAAAAATCATGGAAATAGAATACTAAATAGAAACCGAAATACTTTTTGCTCACAGAGTTATGGATTTTCTAATAAGTATGGAGAGCGCCAGGTTTTGCCCTCATTTTAAAAGCAATTGATTTTGAGGTAAAAAATTACAAAATAAAAACAGATGAAGCCCTCAAAATCACTAACCCGGAGTCATAACCATTTCTTACAGTCTGTATCTGCATGGCGCAATATGAGTTTATTGCTTCCTGTCTGTGAAAATGGTATTGCTGCTCGGGCAATAAATTACAATAATAAGAACATGTGTCTTTCTTTAGCTACAAGTCATTAATGGTTAGAAGGAGGAGAGATAAATTAGAGTACCACACTTTCTTTTTACTAGCAGAGAGCAGCAACCCAGCGCTGCAGAATAGATGGATACATGTGGCAGCTTTTGTTGTTTACATACATCCTCTGTCACTCTGGTTACTCTGGACTACCACTCTGGTGACTCTCAGGCAGCCATGTTGTACACAGAGCATCATTACGGTTGTTGTTTTTAAACGTAGAATCTAAAAGGCACCTATGCCATGCATAGTTAGCTCTGAACCACCACAGTACCAGTTAAAGTTGGTGTCCCATGGTGGGACCTCCACCCAGGATGTAATCCCCCCTCCTTCCCCCTGTTGGGGCGCTGCTGTGTGTATTATGGCCGTGTGCTGTTTATAACAAAATAAACACTAAAGTTTTTAATACCCATGAATGGACAATAGACTGCAAGTTCACCTGCCAGTATCAAGGCAAACGTCTTAAGTGGGTCTTGCGCTAGTATGTATTTAAAACCCCATGTGTTCTCTATTTAGGTTAATTAGTGCAGGTTTTATGAGAATCCCCCTTTTCTGTCTCATTAGAGAATTGCCTCTGGGCTGAGTACAAGTCAGGGTGAGAGTATCAGGGTTTAAAAACACTGTGTGTAGGACTCGGCTAAGGGGTCTGTCTTGATGTAGCCATGTGAGCTTACACTCTACGGCCATGCAGTGGTAATAAAGACCTCGATTTTTATACTTAAACGTTTGGGGCCAAACACGGATAATCTGAGAAATCTGAATTCTAAGGCAATCCGGTCACAGTGACTTGCATCATAGCAGTCATAGTCTGTGACAATAATAGGTTAAGCAAATTGTCAGGACCTCTAAGAAAATTTAAAATGTTAGGCCAAAACCAGAAATAGAAAATTCTCCAAGTTAGCTGTGATTCCAATTCAGTTTTTTGCGCTGAAAATTGAAACTTCACTTTTAATTGCCATTAATTCAAACTTCATGAATAACACTGCTAGGATTTACCTTAAACTTTATCATTAAACTGCGTTGCTCATTTGTACATTCTTACAATATCAAAAGGTATTCTGAGATTTTCTCCAGTATCAATGCTATGTAAAATATAAATAGACGCTATAAATATTACATCCATCATTACCGCGTACAGAATGTATGTATTTAACACATCTCTGCAGTGAAAGCTTTATTTCGTGCAGTATTGACGGGTTATTTGTTAGCAATTGTATCAAATATTTGATTGGACATGTTGGAATTATTTTATTACACAATATAAACTATGTATATGAAGATAAAAATAAAAACACAACCCTTTTCTCTCTACTGTACTTACCCTTGGTACCTTACTCTACCGCAATACCTTCCGTAGCCCTTCCTATTTGCCAAGTGTTACCTGGTTATTCTCCACTATCACACACATACCTGCCAAGTGTCCTGACATTCCGGGTCAGTCCTTAGCTTTGCTTACATTAAGCATTTACTTTCCTACCCCCTACCAAGGTACATTTATGGTTTTTTTTTTGTAATTTTTAAAGTATTATTTATGCTTCTATCTAGAGGGTTGAACAACAGTTTCTTAATTTTAGTCTCCAAATCCCGGAATGCATGGCCAACTGTCTGACGTGTGAACATCATTGGGATTTTGTTCCAGTGATAGCTGGGTATATGTCAATAGACAGCTTATGTCTTGCACAAAAGTAACATTATAATGGATTAGCACTATACCTTTTTTATTTAATTTGATTGATTAATTTTTTTTTAAATCCTTTCAGTTACATCCTGTTGTGCTTCAATCGTGAAAATGGTTATTTGTCATTGTGCTCTAGGGGTTTCCCATAATTTATCACAAATGGGGGCACTGTAATATTATATATTTATGTGTTAAAATAAATTTTTTGAAGCAGTGAGATGTGACGCTAAGCATTTCTCAAGGTGCACTGTTACACACTGTATATATTTGAAATGTCGTCCTTTAAAGTGGATCGTTAATTTTACGAGTTTATGATGTCTGGTATAAAGAGTGTCTGGTGCAAGTTATGCTGAGATTACTGGTCCGTTAGTGTATTACAGGGATGTTCACTACAGTGGGAATTCAAAATGAATTTCGAACATAATTCCAGAGTAATCAGACTGAAAAATAGCTGAATTAGAGGATTTTTTCCAATTCGGCATTTTCACCTTAAATTTAAAATTTACTTTGAATTCTTACTTTAGCAAATAACTCTGTTAGAGTTTGGCACTTTTTAACTAAATGATGATGAAAACGGTTTTACAACCAACAGTTTTAAAAAAGTCAGACTTGGTTGGCCACCTATATAAACTAAAGTCCCACGGGTGCTGATGATTCCTCTAAGAAATACCATTGTTTTTAGGTACCTGTCTATTTACGAATGGGGGAGAGGCTGAGCAGTGGAGACGCTGTACGCATTTTTGCCACGATCACCAGGTAATTTCTGATTAAGATCGACATTTTTGCCACGATCACCAGGTAATTTCTGATTAAGATCGCCAGATTATTTTGAACTCTATGTAAGCACCCTTACTAAATACGTTAAAACCCTAATTAAAGTTTTGTAGGTAATACTAAGCTTTCTTACAAAAAAAAACTGCACGTCCACTTGATTCATGACATAATAACCACTGTTTTGTTAGCTTTCATCCGTTTGGATTATTTTACCTTTTTACATTCCTGTATGTTGTAACATTTACAATAAAACGAAATGAAAAAAAAAAAAAAAGACAGAATCCGAAGACGAATGTCCAATCTAAGCACATGGGACCAAGGCAAGTTAGACATGATGGGAATCTGCATCACTGAAAAGAAGTAGGATTCTGGTTAGACTGTAACCAGGGCAGAACCAGTTACATACTTATTTAACGTGCATTTAAAGCAAAGCATGTATAAAGAACTAATTTTGGGCACATGGCTAAATGTGGCCCATTCAGTATTAACATTTCATTGGTTTCCTTTAGTGATAGCTCTACGTTTGAAACTTGGCACTAAAACTACTCTTCAAACATAAGGAAGATTCTCATGAAATAATGAAATAAGGGTTACAGGAGTAAATGACGTGAATTGTGGTTGCGGTTTCGCCAGCGAAAAAAAAAAAACTTCTATCAGTGCACCGACACGTGATCACATATTCTGTCTCATCACACGCGGGAATTGATGTAATGACGCAGGTTCGCGGAAAACGAACTGAACACTCGTTACGAAAAATGACAGATTCTAAATCGCTACAAAATAAAACAAACAGAAAATGTGGTTTCGCTAACCACTCTGACTGTTTTGAATTTACCAATTGGCCTTAAAACAATACATGTGTTTTTTTTGTTTTTGTCCATTATCTCTAACATCGGTTCATTTCAGACATGCATTACGTCATACTATCAGCTTTAAAAAACAAAACCCAATAATTTGAAGGTCTTCTAATGCAATAGACTCCTGCAATAGACACAAAGAATGTCTTTTGGAATAGGTAATCATTTTGGAAGACCCCCTTTACTCTTCATTCAGTGCAATTCTTGTATTGAGAGCAAATGATGATTTATAATCAATAAATAAAACTACATTAATTAATCTGTTAATGTCTGGTGGACACAAAAACACAAAATCAATTGCACAGACTTAATCTATTCATTTGTTTTGACAGATATGCTTATAATACATTGTGGCTTATTTATTATTACAGAAAGAATTGTGGATAAGTAAGAGGGAATTGTTAATTGTTAGATCAGGCATAGGCAACCTTTGGCACTCCATATGTTTTTGGACTACACCCCTCCCCATGATGCTTTGCCAGCATTATGGGTGTAAGAGCATTATGGGAGATGTAGTCCAAAACATATGGAGTGCCGAAGGTTGCCTATCTCTGTGTTAGATACATAAATGGGGAAATGGAAAAAAGGTTGACCTATTCTGGCCTAAACTTTGCATTTTCCTTGTCAATGCTACATAATCCAAACTTAAACCCTTTCAAATATAGCTAGTATGGAGGTCTGACATCAAATAAAAATTTACTTTCACTGATATACATTCTGCAACCGAGATGAAGAATATCAGATTAGTACATAAATTTGTTTTTGAAACCATCCCGAGCAAAGAGGTTTTTGGGACGGATCACTGAGAATTCCATATCCAGTTTAGGGAAGTTCTAATGGTTACTGAAAGTGTGTATACTGTACTGTACAAGCATTCATCAAGAACAACTCTTCCCCCACTTAACACCAACTTGCACACATACCCATGTAGTGCCACTATCTGGATACAGGAGCAACAAGTGGCATTAGTTATAAGCCCACTGGGGAGACTTACTAAGGTGTGAGTTGATTTGAAGTGGTGCACAAACCCATGTCATCCTCTGGAGTCTATATACAAGAGATAGCCAATAGGCAGTTCTATAATAAGTAGTATTATGTTATTATGATTTGCATTTATATAGCGCCAACATATTCCGCAGCGCGTTACAATTATTATTATGTTATTTATATAGCGCCATCAAATTCTGCAGCGTTTTACAATGGGTGGACGAACAGACATGTAGTTGTAACCAGACAAGTTGGACACACAGGAACAGAGGGGTTGAGGGCCCTGCTCAATGAGCTTACATGCTAGAGGGAGTGGGGTAAAATTACACAAAAAGGTAAGGATAATATTAGACTAGTGACAGTTGCAGAAGAGGAATCAGTCGGGAGCTATTAACAGTTCAATTGATACGCTTTTATGAAGAAGTGGGTCTTTAACGATTTTTTGAAGGAGTGGAGACTGGGTGAGCATCTAATGAATTAAAGAAAGAACCTTGTTCAAAGAGCTTAGAATCTATGATACCTCTAAATTGTCAGCTCATTTGAGCAGGGTCCTCATCATGCTATTGTTCCTGTAACATTTTGTAATTGTCTCAGTTATTGTTAAATTTCCCCCTTTTACAAAATTGTGATGCGCTGCAGAATAAGTTGGTGCTATATAAATTCTAATAATAATATTAAGTTGTAGAAAAAGCACAGTGCTAAATGCTTGCTGTTTGCTAAAGCAGTGATGACAAACCTTTGGCACTCCACTTGGGGTAAACTGTGTTTCCCAAAATGCTTTGCTATCCATTCTATTGCAAAACGATAATGGGAAATGTAGTCTATGACAAATGGAAGGCCAGATGTTAGAAATCACTTTCCAACTGTCCTAAGTCCCAAATAATTGACAATAGTGCTAATGGGACTGATGTTGTTCATCCCAGATCAACAATCAGACACCAACTTTGTCTTAACTGGTGATTCTAAACTTTTTTTTTTGACAGAGATGCAAATTACACGCATGGCGTTAGTTTGGAGACTCATTTATCAGTTATAAAATGATCTTAGTTACTCCCTTTCAATAGTAACATACAACAAAATAAATTCTGAAAAATAATTCCACTGGAGAGCCACTGCAGTAGAGAAATGACTTTGGGTGGTTGCCTGAGAACTAATGAATATGATGTGTCATTTCCATTCACTGGAGACGCAGTGAAATAGCATGAGGGCCCGATTTTGGGTACCGACCCAGAGGTAGAACCATTGGCCTAAATCGACAAGCATCAAGCAAAACAATTGCCAACTCAAACAGACCCTTCTGCAATGAGGGAGAGCCCATCACATCTGCAGTATTATCCACAAATAACATACACACTCTTTTTCACAGAGCTAAACCCTCCCCCATCTGTGAAGCATCTCAAAGGGTGCATCCCAGATGACAGTCCCAAAGCCGGCTTGGAGGGGACTTACCTTCCTGGATTGTCACTTCGCTGTCACTGCTTCCTCCCGACACCGGCTCTTTGTCCTCATCCTCATTGGGTGGCCTGAGATCTCTTGGTCCTTGCATCCCAGCGGCCGCCGCTTCTTCTAAGTCCAAGAGGTGACTGACGCTAAAGTTTTTCCTGCTGTGGGCAAGTTCTGGAGTCTCCAAGATGCGCATTGTGTTAGGGGGTCCTGGCTTGTCTAGGCCAAGCTCCCTGTCCATACCCCCTAAACTGCCCTTTTGAATTCCCCAAATTAAGATTCCTACTTACTCAATAAACCTTTTTATCCTTAAAGTTTTCCTGTAGTCTGATTCTCCTAACACTTCTCTCACGGGATCCTGTCTTCCCCTCTATGTTGCTTTAATCTTTTTTTTTTCTTTCTTTTTTTTCTTAAACTGAGCCTTTTCACCCTTTCACACTCTTCCTCACTGCTTGTGCAAGTTCTTGAAGTTTTCGTTTCTCCTCTATAACTTTGCTAGTGTTCTCTCCCTCTTTAGGGCAGGGACAACTTCTCACTCACATGCACTTTTAGCCAAGTGACCAGAAAAAAAAAAATCCTTTTGCTGACGTTTAGAAGAAAACAAAAAAGTTTCCCCCTTCTTCTTTTCTGTAGTTCTTGGATAAATCTTTCCACACTCGGCCCCTCCTTCTCTCAGCAGTGACCCCCTGACCCCCCCTCTTCCTTTTTTCTTTTTTTTTTTACTATGAGAGAAAAGAAAGAAAAATAAGATAGTCTGAGCGGATTCAGTGTTTTTTTAACAGCTCTTCAAAAATGTGTCCTTGTGGTTTAGTATGTGAGGGTTAAGTGCTTCCATCAACATGTGTCACTATGAAGGTAGAGTGGGGGATCTGAGAGATTGGGGGTTATTAGAGGTCCCTTGTGTGGATTGACAAATTCCTTTGCAGAAGGGATCATCTTCACACCAAGAGGTAGGGGACACTAAGGAACAACACAGGGGTTAAATATATATGTTCTTAAAATTCTGTAACAGAAACACTTAATTAACTTTATTCATTATTATTCATTAAATTGGGACCTTGGGAAAATTGATAAGATAACTGCACAATTTAACCCAAAAATAGCCTGACTAGGAAAATTAGATAAAGTGGAGAATTTTTTTTTTTTTTCCCCCAAACGAGCAATTCACGTTTGGAATTTAATTAATTTCGTGCTTAGCGAATTACATTAACGGTTTTAAGTTTTCGTACAGGTAAATACTTTTTATCTAAAATGGCTGGCGGCTACATATTTTCCACTTTAGTTTTTTTGTTTTCAGGAGTATTTAGACGGTAAAGTAGGTTGTCCCAAAACAGGAAACGTTTGTGGAAATGTTAGGTTTTGTTTTTTTTCAATTCTGGACAAGAGTGATTTTTGGAGGAAAAAACAAAAACAATCCAAAAAACCAAACAAACAAAAAACAACAACATTTGGATTACAACATCCGTTCTGCGTATTTTTTGTCATATAAAACTTTTTAAACATTGTATGCCATTTACCTGTTATGTTAGAAAGCTCCATAAATAAAAACGTATAGGACTTGCTTAACTTATGAAGATATGTTGTTCAGTCATCTATAACCCCCCCACCCCCAAATCCCCCGATTCAATTAAACTGAATGGGTTTGCATCATATTCATCCAAAAAAACTTAAAGCTTGCAAAGTTGAGTTGTTCTATTCACTTTACAGTGTACCTGCAACGATTAAGTTTTAGTAGAGATTACATCTAGTTAAAAGACTTGTTTCAATATTCAGATTCCAAAAGTTGTGAAAAATGTATATAGCCATCCTGGCTTTCTAAATCTCTAAACCCTAAAGGTCTCTAGGTGAAACATTGCACATTCAGCGTCATTTGCACCATAATAATTTAAGCTAGCTGAAGTGGTTATGGTGCTTATATAGGCCCTTTAATTAGCAAGTATGTCATCATTCTGACATCAGTTGTCAATGATGGCTGACATCACATGTCTTGCGTAATATGCAGTAGATGAAGCTCATCGTTTCTCCATTAAGATGCAAGATATGATTTTGGAAGATCATGCTACTGCTATAAGCCGTCATGTGGCTCCCATCGTCGACCAACACAGCGTATGGTGACAACTGGGGGCAAGTGAAACTTTCAGAAGATAAAGAGAAAAAATGGTGGCAATGAGGGGTGAGGACTCAAAGATTGTTTCACGCTTTCTTTGTCTCCTACAAAAGTGCTGTTACTTGTGGGGCGTTAAAGAAGGGAGAAAATAAATAAATAAATGCCAACTGATTCGCTTTAATTCACTTCCTCCTGCGTTGACGTGAGTGAATCTCTTCTTTGTGTGTCTGTGCGTGCCAACTGATTGGAACTTAAAGGAACACTCCAATTGCAAAAAGTTTAAAACATTTTTAAAAACAATTTAGTAGATATAAATCCAAAGAAATCATGAATGCATTTAATTATGCATTTTTGTCATGGAGGTATATACCCAAAAAGAGCTTGTAAATGCTGCAGATCTCTTATCTGCAGCATTTGCAAGCCCTCCCTTTTCCCCTCCAGTACAGACTGAAAGTATGTAAAAAGATAAATGGCCAATCAGAGGTTCGCGCACTTGTAATCAGGAAGCCACGGCGAGCCATGGATGCAGAGCTAAAACAGAGCCCTTTGGACGCACGCGTTCGGGCTCATTGCGACTTGGGGGGAAAAGGCAGGTGCGCTCTAGCAGAATCTGATTGACAGCCAAGGAGGGGTTTCTACAACTCTTTATAAAAGTTCCAATTTCAAATAGAAATCAGTACTTTTCTAAACTGCACTTAGGATAAGATGCTCCTGACACATAAAAAACAAAAAACATCAGCAAGCTGTAGTCCTTTACGTGTGTGACGTGTCCCTTTAACCCAGGCAGTAACAATGACAGTAAGGGTTAGATTGATGGTGTAGGAGCATAAAAATGTATTTGCAGGGAAAGGCGCCATATCTGATCCAGCCTGTGGGGTGGGGAGCAGAGACTGAGCTCGTTGACAACCTTTATTTTACCCAAAATTCATGCCTTGTGGTCCCTTTGATGTAACCTGATTCTACAGCAATTAAAGCTTTTGACAAATGCTGAACTTTATCGCTTGTTAACCCCCTTTGTTGCGATGTAAAAAGCATTACATTCTGAGTACTTTAGCAAACATAGGGGATGTAAAAACCCTCATATTGTAGTTTGGTTTTTTTCCAGCCCACATTACATCAAACAACATTGATACGTTTCTTGTGATTTCTGTCACTATAGAGGCTAAGGATCATGGGAGTTAATGTTCATGAACAGCTAGTAAGCTACCCATTGGCTGTCCCACCTATTCATTCACAATGGCAATTCCTGTACAGATGCTTGTTCTGTCCTGATTACATGTCTGTTGCTTATATAAACACATATAATAAAAGTTATTTCACATGTGTTGGCAACAGGAGGCAACGGATGACATTAAAAAAAATGGATCTCAGAAGGGGATCTGCCAAAGTCCAATTCAACACTAAATCACAAAGGTTATTAAACTGCCGGCTTAAGGAGGTAAGTTAGCTGTCAAGTGATGTAAATAGGGATATGAAAATCATTAACTCACAAGGTTCCAAATCGGAGTGAAATTATCCGCTAGGCTTTGGCAGAGGCACAGGATGTCCAGGGAATACAATTATTAAACTAAAAAAATAATATTTATCAAGTTACACCCATGCTTTTTGTAGAATCACTGCACAGCAGCATTGAAAGTAGAGGGGTGGCACAGAACAGACTATTCTATGTCTAGCTAAGTTTTGTAGATGGTCGTTAAGGCAGGCCTAAAAGAAAATGTAACAGGATATATAAATATGTATTAACGAAGAAAAACAAAGAGCTTTTGACCTACACACCGGGGAATTAAATGTTAAAAATAGCGTAAAATGTCAAAAGGGTAGTAACGATTAGCAGAAATGTTACAGTAAAAGAAAACAAAATCTATTACAGTTGAACGATAAAATATATATATATTATCTTTCTAAATGGGCACTTTTTGGCAGTAAATGAAAATGATTTGGTGTTTAGTGTGGCTGATTTTTTTTATTACTGTTTATATAGTGCCAACATATGCTACAGTGCTGTACAAAGGTAAAAAAATTAAGAAAGCAAATAAATGTTGACCAAGTTAAGACTAAAAGGAATAACAAGTGGCAATGACCTATTCATGGGTCCACAATGAAATGGGCAGGTGTTTTTTTGTTTTGTTTTGTTTTTTAAATCAGATATTTTAAACCTTTGGATTTACCATCATTGAATATTAATTATGTTAAGTGATATTATGTATTGATATTCACCCTTAGGAGGGGTATTCTTTGCACAGTGATGGTTTGTTCACTAGACATTGAATTGTAATAAATGGCAAATCGAATGGCAACATTTTGGCAGTAATAGCAAAACAGTGATTGGAGATTTTTTTCCCCAAAAAAATCATCCGTTTATGACTGAATCTTACAAATCAGTTTAAGATTCACTGCATTGTTTAGTGATTACAAACTTAGGTTTTGTAGAGAATTTATTAGGGAAGTGCAAATTTAAGGCAAAATGGAATTAAATATTATCCAGAGCTGCAATAGTTAAAACCTGGCTATTTCAGCTTTAATTTTACAATTAAAATTTCAATTCACTATAATTTAGTGAACGAACCCTTGTGTTTCTATAATAAAATCCCATAATGCGGTCGCATCCCAAATGGGAATAACAGGGAATGCGGCTGCTGGCGCTGGTTATTTGCAGGGCATAGCTGCGGCCAAAATTTGTGCAGAATTAAGAGGCTATGAAGGTACCACGAAATCCTAGCCGCCTAACTGACTCCTCTACTGAGCTACAGGTCAGGACCCTGGGGAAAACAGAGCCCCTCTTAATGAGGTAATTAGGCCCCTCTCCGCAGTTAAAAACTCACGGTATGCATCCACTGAGAAGCCTTTTTAATGAAAACCAGCCCCACAACAGAGAAGATAAAAAAAAAAAATAGGAAAGCTTTCAAACTCGTCATCCTCTGGGTTATATGATGGTCTAGCTAGGTGAACTGGAAATCGTCTTATGTGGATTTTAAAAACGTAATCTCTACAATAAAAGCGTTATTTATTTTTCTTAGGTTATCTTTATGGTAGTGAAACAGTAAATATAAGTGCCAGATTTTATTTCTTATAAATATGTTATACATATAAGGAATCTGTCCGCCTATAGGAAAGACCTCCTGCCTCTTATCCCATGCTCAACGGAGCACATCAGGCAATTTTCAGTAAAATGGAAAATTGGAGAACTTAAAGAACTGAAAATAGAAAAATCTTCCAGATCAGATGTTTTATTTTTCCAACTCGGGATTGTTTGGCTTAAAAGATGCAATTTCCTTGTCAATTCTCCATATTTCACAGTTTATAGCCATACAAACATGCTCACAAAAGTAAGAATTCAAAGTAAATTCTAAATTTAAGGTAAAAAAATTAATTCTTCTAAGTCACTAAGGCTTTACGTTCGGCTACTTTGGCATTAAATTTGAAATTCATTTTGCATTCCCACTTCAGCAAATAACCCTGATAGATTAAACTGTGACCAAAATCACTAAATTCCCTAACCGAACCCACCAAATCTGCACGCT